TCTTTACTAAAGAGGACTTGCTAAATATTCCCCACTCGTGCCAATCCATTCACCCTCTTATAGATACTATCGTAATTGACCGTACTGGAGTACTTAAGGCTATAGATCAACTAAAGGTGACCTCCAGCTCCGGAGATGACCAAACTAACTCCAAGGTATTAATAAACACTAAACACATTTCTTCCACTTTCCTCTGCAACATATTCTCTCAATCTCTTAAACTCTCTGAAGTTCCTTCCGTTTGGAAAGTTGCTAACGTCATACCCGTTCATAAAACAGGCGATCGCCAACTAATCTGCAGCTATCGTGCCATCTCGCTCACCAGCGTTTCATGACAACTCTTGGAACACATTCTCTATTCTAACATAATAAACTTTCTAGACTCTCATAACCTCCTTTTCAAGCACCAGCACGGATTTCGCAAGTCCTACTTATGCGAAACTCAACTAACAGCATTTCTAACTGACGTTTACTCAAATTTCGATTCCAACGTTCAAACTGACGCCATCTTCATTGATTTCTCCAAAGCATTTGACAACGTCCCTCATCAGCGTCTTTTAATGAAACTAAGAGATATTAATCTTAACCCCTCTGTAGTCAATTGGATTTCTGAATTCCTCACTGATCGCACACAGTACACTTCTACTAACAATATAAAATCTACAACAAGCACAGTAACGTCTGGCGTCCCTCAGGGAAGCGTTCTTGGTCCCCTTCTTTTTTTTAATCTACATTAATGATCTCCACCATGGCATCACTTCTGCAGTACGTTTGTTCGCCGATGACTGTGCCATCTATAGACCGATTCATTCACGTCACGATCAACTAATCTTGCAAAACGATCTCCAACTCATTGTTCAGTGGTGTCATAAATGGCAAATGGCTTTAAACTATATTAAATGTAAATCGCTATCTTTTTCCCGCAGTTCAGATGCTCTATCCTCCTCTTACCACCTTTATGGCATCCCAGTAACTGCTTGTTCATCGTATAAATATCTAGGAATTCATCTGACATCTGACCTGTCATGGACCACCCATATAACATCTGTCATCGCCGATGCTAACCGCACTCTCGGGTTTCTTCGCCGTAACCTCAGACAAGCTACATCCCCCGTAAAATAACTAGCTTATACTTCCTTGGTCAGAACTAAACTAGAATTCGCTTCTTCCATATGGTGACCGTGGCATGCATACCTAACTAACAACCTTGAATCCGTTCAAAGCAGAGCCCTACGTTTTATTTATTCCGACTATTCCCCTTACGCAAGCATATCAGGATTTCGCCAATCAGCTAACCTTGACACTCTTCCTCACCCCCGCAGGATGTCTCGTCTTTCTCTTCTTCATCGGATCTTTTATTACAACAGTCATCTCAGACAAAGTTTGTTATCACCTCCTTACCGCATTTTCCCTCGTCTCGACCATTCTTGTAACCTCCGTTCGATTTCATCGTCAACCGTCACTCGCCAAATGTCTACTTTAACATTGGCCATTGACGACTGGAACTCACTCTGCCTGTCGTAATTGTTTCCTTATCTGATACTAAGAAATTTTCTGCAGCCATTAGCTTATACTTTCTAACCCATAACTAGATTACAGCGTATTTTTGTAGATAAATTGTTTTGTTATTGGTTTCTTTAAGTGTTCACTCCCTTGTATAATGCCCCTTGGGCCTTCAAGGAATAATAAATAATAATGATGATGATCTGTAAATGATCTGTACAAACAACTGCACTGTAAGCAGCGGGTGGCGCTGCGCTCACGCACACCTTGAGCACTGATCAGAATTACGTGCTTTCGACTAGAAATTACCACGAATAAAACAGTGTGACTAGTTATTTTAGAAAGCAATGTACGGGCTCTCTTGATCATCTCATATATGCCAAGGGTCTACACATTAAGTTTCAGCCGCCTGCGTTCACGATAAAGAATATCCAGGACGCCCTCTGCTTGAACTTCTATGTCGCGGTGAACATTCAAAAACGCTAGACCGAGCAGTCACTCATTCAAAGTGGACGCTCTCAAGTATATTTTTAACCGTTATAGCAGGGGTCGTAGTGAACAGAACATGTGCTCAGGATACTAAAATATTTTCTGCAGCCATTAGCTTATTCTTTCTAACCCACAACTGGCAGAACTGGCACGAGGCAGTATAAAAATCTGAACGAGGAAACTAGAATATTCAGCGCTTTGTCGCACTACAGCGTCTAGCACGGCGAATAGGGTGTCTTTTCTATTATGATTCGGACAAACGAAACTAAGAAAGGAATAACTCATCAAATTAAAAAAGGTAAATCGAAATGCGAGACCAGTTGTATAGGCGCTTGGCTTATATGGCAACCCGCCGTTGTTACGCACAGAGTCATTAGGATCTCGAAGAGACGATGGACATTTGGGAATTGGTGGCGTGCGCGAACTACAGGGGGCTCTTCTCAAGCTATCATAATCATCTTTTTATGACGTCACGGGTAGGACAGACTGGGCCAAACCGCGCAGTTCTTGGATCCCTCGGCTCGTCAGCTCGCTTCATGCGCTGTTGGGGTAACGAGCGGCAAAGCCTCTTTTACGCGTTATGTTTATTTGATGAAGTGATATTTGTAGTAGGATATTTTGCCAAAGCTTTAAACCACATGTGGCACGCGTAGTCATGCCAACAAACACTTTTGGAGCTGAGGTGTTGAAGTGGTCGGATAATGGTGTGCTGTTCTCTATCCCGTACAAAAATCTGAACGAGGAAAATAGAATATTCAGCGCTTTGTCGCACTACAGCGTCTACCACGGCAAATAGATGTCTTTTTTTTATTATGATTCGGTCAAAACGAAACTAAGAAAGGAATAACTTGTCAAATTGAAAAAGGGACAGCGAAATGCGAGAACCCCTCTCATGTGTAGTGAATACTCCGGTGAGAGCGCCTCCGTGTACCCTTTTGGTTCCAATCTGTCCTGTGAGTTTTGGTCTCTTATGAGTTCAGAGTTCATTCATTTTCTTTTAATTTTGCAAACCAGTAAACGAACATTTTCTCAAAATAACTGGCAGGAAGAAGTGGAGGCTGGCTTTCGGAGTCGTTTTGACTTAATCCCTGCTTATTCACCCGGCCGACCCGAAACGTGCAGGACCCCCTCGCAATCGAAGTAATCTAGTAAGTCGGTGACACTTCAGCGTCCTAGAAAATGAGGAATGTACCTGCTATAAATTACAACCGTTTGTATGTTTCGTTTTGCGAACCCAAATGCGCATAATGCGTGATGCGCGCCTCAGCGAGCGATTTTAAATTGGTAAACAATTCTTGGTAAAAATAGAATACAACAAATTAATAAATAGCCCGAAATTGCCAGGAAATGGCTGACAATTTAAGAATTTATGAAAGATTCTTCTTTTCTTTCGAGGAGAAGTTGCGATGTAACAAACTTTTTTGCCACGTTCTCGATTTGGGAGGAGCTAAGCGTCAGTCCCTGACCCGCATTTGCTCGGCAGCAGCTGTCGAGTCACACCTGGACAGAAGCGTCGGTATCGGCAAGCTCAATGCAGCTAAAACAAGTGTGCAGCGCTTTCCAACGCAACTGTGCAAACGTGCACAGCTAAGAAGACACTACGTCGATTACTCTGGTGAATGCAAAACCTTTTTCTAAAACAACCTTCACAGACACGAAAAAAAAAAGAGTCAGAGGTTTTGAATTGCCCTGACGCACGCCGCTCAAGCTATAATGTAATGCTCCAGGCTTGTTTTTAAACGTGTGACGTCACTGCTCCTGGCGCTTGCACAGCACGGAGCACGGCTCATTATGCGAGTCACGCGAAACTGCTCAACCTCGGCCAGTGTAGCTCACGCTACAAAACTTAGAGTTGGGTAGAATTTGGGACATGGCAAAGTATGAAAACCGGGTGGTGGGCTGTTCAAGAGAGGGAAGGAATTGAGAAACACGATAAAGACAGTACGAAGAGTGTTTGCACCAACATTAGACATGAAGGAAGAGGTGTGGGCTTAGAATTTGAAGACGTGGGGTTCTGCCAGGCACTGGTAGTATATTAGTAGGGTTATGAAAGGAACGGGATGGTGCCAGGGAAAAAGAGGTGAACGACGTTTCGACCAAACGGTCTTCTTCAGGAATACTAAAAAGAGAAATGACAGATCCAGAGATATATACAATGTATATGCAAAAGGCGGAGGTAACACGTGACAGATGTGACGTGCTGGAATAAGAGAAGGAGGGGGAAACGTTGTCAGGTAAGTTTCTAGAGGTCTGTGAGTCAATCGGAGGAGAAATGCGGAAAGGGGGGACGCCTAGCGCACCCCGCGTAACCACCGAAATAATCTTCTTTTTTTTTTTTTTTTCGAAAAGGGGAAGAGAGAAATAGCGGGCGAAAGTGGAATGTCTAATAGCCGAAAGAAACTTTTTTGTTTAGACAGGACCGGATTTCGGCCTTTAGGTTAAAATTAATTAATTTTCTTTCTTTTTACGCGAGGTGGCTGTGTTGACGCCTGATTTGGCGACGCATACTTAAGCGTTGGGTTCGGAATGATTTGTGGAAAAGAAGTGTTTAGATACGTGTGTGGAGAAGTCATGTGTAAGTCAGCCCACTCATTCTCGTCTGACAAGTATGTGGTGCTCTCAGAAGCGTTCGTACAGTTTCGCCGATATATAAAATGCCGGTCCGAGTTTGCAGGATATAATGCATATCAAATTATAAGCTTTACAGGTGTGACTGTTAGGGCTTCTCATAAGCAAGTTTTCAGCAAGACCGCTGTGTTTGCACGTAAGGCATTTCAGAGCAGTGAGAGAGGCAGCTAAGGGGTTGGAGAATGAGCGTGGTGCATATGTTACAGAAAATAGTGATGGTGTCAACAGTTTCCAGTCTCTTGCAGTACAAACAGAAAATGGTGAGTGGCAGTGCGTGAAAGTTTCGGTATTGAATGAGTATCTCATATTTTTGGTGGGTCTTAGTGTAACAGACATATTTTGGGGAGCACTGAAGTAAGCAAGACACCATTTCACAACACTTTCGAAAAAGATTAGAACAGTTTTATTGCATTCACGCCAAATACACACACCCAAAAAAGAATATTGTTTTCCTCTGGTTGAAACTTTGTATTAGGTGCACATTCCACCAGCGACCTCGACGCTCGTGGCAGTAATATACGAGCTACCAGAGCTGCACAAATATCTTGCCACGTCGGCCACTTCCTCGGGACGTGCGAATCTCTTCAGGATAGTTGCTTTGGCGGCTTCTTTCCTTGACTCCTCGGGCATGATGGCTACAATGGGAGTGTCGGTTGGTCCGGGCAGGATGGTGTTCACTCTTATGTTTGTTCCGGCCAACTCTTGGGCCAGAGACTTTGTGAATGCTATGACGCCGCCCTTGGAAGCTGCGTAGGCGGCAAACATGGCGTATCCGCTCTTGCCCGCGATGCTGGCTATGTTAACTATAGAGCCCTCGGGTACTTTTCTCTTCAGCATCTCCCTCACAGCAGCCTGGTTGACGAGGAATGTGCCCTGAAAAAGAAATGAGTATGTGTGTTTTCAGAGTGTTGTTAGTTACGATTAGTGTTCCGTCTTTTTGGTGTTTTTTGTATTCTTTGAACTCTTCCATGTGTGTTGCTGTGTTTATTATTTGCGTAAATTTTGCTTTATCGTTGAGAATACTCGGCGTTGAAAACGAAATTGGTGTTTATCAGGTATATACAAAACAGAGTACAAGAGAGTTTGATTTTATACATTTAGGGAACATGCTGCGCATGACTCGATTGCACTGAAATTGTCTTTCTGCCAGTAAGGGACAATCAGTGGTTGTTGATGACAGAAGTTTCATCACAAGCAGTTCAGTGAGGGCGGTACTCCGGGTCAACAAAAGATTCAGCTGAAGATCGAGACATCTTGAAGTTTGGGATCCCATTTCAAAATATTGATTGAAATCGGGAATTTATAGCTTTCCCCGATTTCGACACAATCGGCTCGGGGGTTAATTCTTAAATTTTATCGGTAAATGAAACAAAAAAAAAGAAAAAATAGCGGAACCACTGACGTTATATACGAACCTTGAGGTTCACTCGCAGCAGTTCGTCGTAGTCGTCTTCTGTCATATCCACGACGGCACACCATTTGCCCACACCAGCGCAGTGCACCACGATGCTCAAAGGACTCCGGCACTGAGAGCCGACGCTCTCTATGAGGGAAGTAACGGAGGACGAATCGCCCACGTCCACGTGAAGAGCCATGTGAGATTCTCCTGGTAAATAGGAAGCACCATGGTTAGCCGCAGGTTAGATGTCACCTTATGACTATGGCAATTCTGAAAGTTTTGACACATCTTCCCCGTTTGAACTTACTGGTACATGACAAAAATGGACCTTTGCCTGGTGTACGACCGGTACGGAAGAATTAATTTAATTCCACCTGAAATAAAGTACAACAACGTGTCTTCTAGGTGCACCGTTCAAAAGATGCACCGGATCTAGAAATCATCCCGTGACCTTTTAGAGATTCGTGTAGCACTCTAGGAACTGAACTAACGACGAGCTTGCCGTCAATAAAGCCGCCAGATGTTAACACTTACCTTGCATGTTGAGTGTATACAAGGCAAGGGATGGTCGATATTTAATAATTAGATAGCTGGCTAACCCTACGATATCTTGGTCGAACTGAAAATTTCCCAAAGCGGGCATATGTCGGTTAGTACAGAGACATCCGGGTTGTATCTGCAAGCCCCTATTATCGGCAGACACGAAAAACATATCTCAGCATAAATGCGTTCCAAGGATATCACTGAAGTCCGCTTGCGATATTTAATATTATAGGTATTTCCAAGGCGACCTGAGCAATCAGACAGGCCTGATTGATTGATTAAGTAAAGAAAAGGTCGTTACAAAAATATTGTTTATTCTTTAATGGGCATGTTAGGGTACACAGACACAAATGATGAGAAACATCGCAACTGGCAAGTAGCTAGTTCGTGCTTTATAGCTGGCGGTATAGAGTGGCAATTTATAATTACACCCATCATTAACAAAACATTTTTTATCAGATATTTCAGCTTACAATCGACAAAATCTGAGCTATTTTTTTTTGTTCAAGAAGCACTAAACAGGAAACAAAAACTATGAGGTAAAAGAAGAAGGACTCACGAGGAAACAAAAACTATGAAATAAAACAAGAAATACCCATCAGGAAACAAAAATTATGAAATAAAACATTCGCCCTTTCCGAGAGCGGTAACGTCCGAAGAACCCTGAGTTCTGGTTGGCTTTGGTTGGAAGGATCGTCGATACACCTCAATTCTAGATGCCTTGAGGTCTACCCATCATTTTTTTAATCGGCCTAAAAGAGCTCGGTGTTTTGACATCATCCCAGCCGCTAAGGCAAAAGCAGACGGACCTGCACTCTGCACAAGCAGATTTGTACGTTACACGTTACTGTACGAAGTAACCTTCTCGGTTACGATTTAGTAACGACCTAGTTACTTTTTTAAGACAGAAAACGTAACATATATTCGTTACACTATTTTTAAAGTAATGAATAACGGTATCTAGGTACTTCCCGAGCGTGGCTCCTCCAACACATATAAACTCTGCCAAGTTTCCACCTCAGCTCAAACCTCTAATTTAAACGACGAGAAGATCATAGGCAGACCGTAAAAGTGTGCGCAACGTATGTCCGTATGGCCTCAGTTATCCCTAAACAAACGCGTTAAAACGTAAGGACATATTAACGACTACACATATCAGACGCGGATATTACTTCATTAAAGGACACATTAAGTAAAACGAGAAACTAACTTGTTTTCTTAAGCTGAGGTAACCCGTAACGTCTGAATCGCAGTAATGTGTGACGTACTGAGATAGATATTGATTGAATAACGACCAGCGGTGTTCAGTTACATCATTTCAGGTGACGTGCCGCGTGTGCATGCCTGCCTATATAAGCGCTGGTAATTTTTTTAGAGCCGTTGCAAAATCTAAAATGACATTAACCTCTCACACAAATGTTTTCATAGTTCCTAGTTATTGCAGTACATAGTTGCGTCCCAGGCACAACAGATCGTCCCTTGTCAAGTATACCACCTCTTCTGCATTCTATAGAGTTGTGAAAAGTATAATAGAAACATCCCATACAAAAATGTTATATGGTCGTCTATGAAAACTTCTTTGACAGGCTATCACCCCCTATGGCCCTCGATGTTCGGCCGTAGAAATCCATTAATACAGCTACAGTCAGCTATAGAAAAACTATGGTCCGTTTCTAAAGATATGGAACCAATAAATTGGCTTGACCCTCGTGTAGAAAATTGTATGGCGACAAGTCTAAAGACTGGGAACCCATAAGTTGTCTTTACCCGCCTATAGGAAATTCTACGGCCCCGAGTTGGAGGACTGGGAACCAATAACTTTTCTTTACTCGCCTAAAAAATCCTATTGCCCCGAGTGTAAAAACTGGGGACCAATAATTGCTCTTTAACCGCCTATAGAAACTTTTATGGCCCCGAGATGAAGGACTGTGAACCAATACATTGTCGTTACCCATCTTTAGACAATGTTATGGCCCCGTTTCTTAAAACTATGGAACAATAAATTTTCTTTATATGCCTATAGAAAAGTTTATAGCACCGTGTCTAAAGACATAAAAAATGATGTACTTTAGCCTGCTGTACAAAATCGGATGTTTCTTAGGCTATAGGCCTGTGACCATTCAACTTTCTCTAGCCGGACTCAAAGAAGTGGATGCCTCGAAAGCTATAGACCAGTGATGATTAAATTTTCTTTAGCCAACTGTAGAAAAATTTTACCCCAAGGCTATTCGTGACTCCAAGAAACTATTGAGGGAGCGCTGATCAAGCAAAATGGTGAACGAAAGGAGTTCGTTTTCGTCTTTCAGCACGCTATCAGTGGCGGATCCAAGGGGGGGGGGGCGGTGGGGGCGATCGCCCCCCCCCCCCCAAACGCCTCGCCAGGCAACCTCCCCCCCCCCCCCCCCCCCCCGGGTTCTTCGTCACCTCGAAGAAAAAACATAAGCAATCGACGCAGGATGCGGCTTGTACAGCCAGGTGACCATTTGCTTTTCTTCTCAACTGAAAGAGGAAGCAAATGCTCTAGGTACAGTCTAGTCTGGGTCTGAGCTTCTCCTGAAGACGCTCCGGACTTCCCCACGACCTTGGCTTAAACATAAGCCCACTTTCGTCCTCGCCTCCATCCCTCACTGAGGATCAGCGCCGCAGCGCGGAATACAGAAAGAAGCCGACGAGCGCCAGAAGGGGGAGATGTTTCCTCTAATGGGCTTCATATTGCCTGCGGTACGACTTCTCATGGCGGGAAGCTAATAAAAGAAAGATAAATGGTACGAGCACTCTAAAGGCTGGAGGCTGCTTACAGGGGGTCCTCAAGCCGACGCCGTAGGCATTTATTTGTATACAATGCCGTTTCAACTTAGGGTGGCGGGACATATTTTAGGAAAGGCGCCCGCTACCCCTTGCCTCCCCTTGGCGCCGTCTTTACCTTTCGAGTTAAACGCGGCTTCTGTGGATTGACGGCAGAGCTTTCGCGCGACTCCGCAGGAGCGAATATGTGCGTGTCCATTCTGTCGAACGGAACAGAGGCGGGGCTTGCTGGTTTCCAACTGCGGCTCCGAATTCCCTACCCAGGGACTTGGGGAAAACGAGCCCTTTCAAAGATGCGACTATACATAAATTAAATAGACAGTGCCTGTGCCCGTTCGAGTGAACACCGACTCCCAAACGTCCATGCTGCAGTCGTGATCCGCCTTTAGCCCAGTTGAGATTCACCGACCGGACAACCACTCTGCCCCATCATATCTCTGCACCTGTCCTCTCGACCCTGACGAATGAGCTAACTACCCAGAAACAAGTAAGTGTTCCTTTCATACAGTAAATATCCAGACGAAGTTCAATTGAATATAATTTGGAAGGATCCATTGCTGGTTTAAGGTCTTGTCTAAGTTTAAAAGTTATAGTTGCCGAACTGCAATATGCTTTCAAACATATTCAACAATTATTCGCTTTCGTTCTCTCGAGTTGCATCCAGAACACGTGAAAACACGAGTTTGGGTTGGCAATGCCGCATGTGCTGCGCTCTGGACATTCCAAATATACGGCGAACAATCGACGAACTTGCCTGGCAGCGTTCGTTTCGCTCGCTGCGTCGACAGTGTTTTGACGCCGCGAGCAGTGTCGAAGCCGCCGGGCCATTTTTGTCGCTTGTTTGCAACGTACTCGCTCCATTGATTTAAGCCGCTCTTCCCGTTGCCGCAACAGTTGAGCACTAGCTCCAACCAGAATGTCTGCCAAGGCAATGTCTTTAAGCTGACCTAAATCGACTGCTCACGTAGTGTCGGTCTGAAACCAAGTTTCAGAAAGGATAGTGCCACCACAATTTTCTAGATACTTACCTCTAGCGTGGTCACCCGAAAGGTTTTAATTCAAAGAGTTCATCCCCGACAGCTCAACCGACACAAAGGCTCTCAAGATCTATATTATGTTATCAGAGTTTAGTAAAAACGATAACCCCACAAAAATATAAACACTCCCCCCCCCCCCCCCCCCCCGCCGTTTTACACCAAGGAACCGCCTCCCCTATAATGGAGGTCTGGATCCGCCCCTGCGCTATAGCATGCTGGCTTAAAAGAGCCATAGAATAACCAATAAAGCATTCTTTAGCAGACCATAAAATGGCTAAAGACACCAAAGGAAAAGCCACAGGCAGCTATAGCATGCTGGCTAAAGACAGCCATAAGATGACCCACAAAACTTTCTTTAGCAGGACACGTAAGAAGCTATACATGGCTAAAGCTACCAAAGGAAAAGCTATTGACAGCTTTAGCATGTCGGCTTAAGAGAACCGTAGTGTAGGCCACATAGAAGCTTTTAGCCAGCCATTAGAAAACTTAAAGAGCGCTAGTGCTGGACAGTGATAGGGCTGTAGACACGCCTAAAGAGGCCCATTAAGGTGACCATAAAAATGCTAATGACAGCATAAAAAACTCTTTAGCTAATTGGGCCAATTAGCTATAAAAGAAATTCTATAGCCGACCATAGCAAATTTTTGTATGGGACACAGACGCCAACAAAACTAAAGAGTCTCCGAATTGGGCCTAGACTCCGCCCCAGATAAAGGTCGACCGCAATCAACGCCACAATTCAATTGAGCTAATTACGCATTGTTAAAAATTAATAATCACTGAACTTCTTGCCCTTGCGCGTCTGATGTCCCTAGCCAATGCAATCACACACAAAAAGAATGCGAAAAATCCCGCTCATTTGTTGTGCTTGATTGGTTTAGTCAAAATAGTAAACACACAAAAATGAGAGCGCCATGACGATGCAGTTTTGGGCGCAGTTTGGCTCATCGAATTCCAGAATTGTCAGCGGCCGGACTCGATGTCAAACGGTGTTAAATGAGATCGGTTTTGTGATTACAAATGCGTACGCGTGCCGAATAAAAGGTCAGTGTAGGTATAACCAAACCTTTCAGCTCGGCAACTGTTGCTCTCGCCGCCTCCAAATTGATGTCGGCCACCACGATCGTTGCCCCGTCTTTCGCCAGTGCATGGCAGACCGCTTTGCCAATGCCGCTTCCACCGCCCGTGACGATCGCCAGCCGATTTGAAAGGGGCATCTTTGGTGGATGCTTCGTGGACGCTGACGCTGTAAAATGCCAGCGTTAGACTTCTAAAACAAACGCCGCTCACTGCGCGATATCTCTATATTGTTCTGCCGGCCTTGTAGGCTCCCTCGGCAACAGCACAGTCGGAAACCAGTTTGGCGCCGGCGAAGGATCTTTCGGTGAGGAAAAACTCCCATCTAATTACGGCCCCACACGGCAGGAAACTATTAAACGACATTCTCGAATAGGTGTCACGGCTCGCTCTTGCTTGGCTTCGTAGCTTCGTACAACTTTGTCGGTGACGACAACTATTTTTTTTTCGGTATTGCGGGTGTAGTTTTTATATAATTAGAGTGTTTCAGAATCACTCTCTCCATCATACTTAGGAAAACTATTTAGAAAACGGCAAGTACTTTGCTGCATGAGTCCAGATACCAGTTTGAATAACTGTTGTACGAGATGTTGCGTATTACAGTTATTTAAAGACGTAATTCCATTATCTATTAAATAACGTTCGTGCTTGAACGTATCTTAAAATAGTGACGTGTTGCTCACACCGTTGTATTTTGCTGGCCTGTCTCATTTGAGGATTCATTTTTTTTTTTAGGTTTGTTAATGTTTGCGTTATGTGGCGCTTTCATCATTTGTGATTAATCGTACCACAGGGCGCTCACTCTTCGGTATTAAGATAGTGCGTGTTATTTTAATAATTTGTTACAACCATTAAATCTTAGTTTATTTTTCCTTTTATTTTTAAAAGTTTTAAGTTTATTATTGGGATTATTCAATGTAATATTGTTCTGTGTTTTGTCATTCAACAAAGGGATGGTAGGCGGAAGGTTACATTTTATGACTATACTATTCAAGAAATGGAGTACTTAGATCGCGGTAACATACTGAGTGGGTAGAGCACCCTATAAGTTATTTGGCCCTCTGTTCCTTCTTTCTGAAAACGGCAGAAAGCCCACTAGCGCTTTAAATAGAGCTTGTGGCAAAAAACCTACACGCTTTGAGGCAAACTTTACATTACCAGGTTATGCAGAAAAAACAACAAAACATGGATGGACAGCAAGAGAAAACTCTGGATATGGCGACAATAACCCAGAGGCCACTCAGGAAAAGGCGTAATTTAGCCCAACATGCATTCTCAAAAACTTTTGAAATTACTGATGTTGAACCTATTTAATTAATGATTACTTAAACTCAAGGCTATGAGCTTGAGTCTATTCTTGCTGGAAACCCTAAAACCCAGCTAGGCGAACAGTCACCTGAAGCCTCCTGACCTTCACAGGTTTCTAGTTCAATGCCCCTCTTGTTCGTTTGTTTTTATTTTTTTTTATTTTTACCGTTAACCAGATAACTTTATCGCCGCGCTCATCCGACACATATACATTTCCGGCAATGACGTTGTAAAGTTTAAAAAAATAAAAGCATGTGTTAGTCAAGTCGCTCTTATTTATATCGGTAATTAAAATTGAATTACAAATTAGATTTTATTCCTTACCAAACCAGAAAACGTTCATAAGCGTCTACATTAAATGCGAACGATTCACTACCTTCATGCTAGCGATCTGGTTACGTGTTTTTAATTGTGAATTCCACGGGTCGTTCTGTAGCGCGCCGGGATCAGTAGAGCAAATCCGAATTGGAGCACGCGATCATAGCGTAGTTCCTCCGCCACCAGATCCCCAGTATCATGAAGACTTCCCCGGGATCGGCAGATGCCTTCCCGTTATTCACCTTGGCAGGAATTTCTTTTCCAGGTCTCGGATCTCGAAGCACATGTTTTCGCACTCGCGGCGTTAACAACACGGGCTCAACGCCCGAGCGAAGTTAATTCTGATGGAAAAGATGCCTGCCGATAAGCGATGTGCATCAACGTAGCCAACTAGCCTCTTTATGGGATTAGTCGTGATCGGTGTCAAAGCGCGTATCGATTTTCGGCCTCTTCTGCGGAGTTTCTTAAAGGCAGTCGAATTCGTGCAGGACATATATGCAATTCTCGTCGTCACTGCTACTCGAGCCGCCGGTGCTGATGGATCTGTTTGACCAACTTGACAAGGAACTGTCATGAAGCCGCAGCAGGAGTAAAGCAGGTGACACTTCCCCAGCGGCCATTACGACTTTTTCGAGGCAAGACCAGCAAGATGCCAGGTGAGAAAGGAAGTCACGTGTGCGCGTCGAGTGCTGGCCAGGCTGGCACCACGTCGAATCCGCCGAAATCGGCAGAGCACGTTTTGTCGGATCCGGACCGAGATCTGGAGTGGGAGCTGATCCAAAACGACGAGTGGGACCCACGTCCATCTAGATCGAGAGTGCTCAGCGTAATAGGCGAGCTCCAGAAAAGTCGATCCCGTCGTGCTCCAAAACGACCACTGCCATTCGCTAGGACACACAGTTTTAGTTGGCTTTATCTATTTTGCTGAGTTTAATTTCGTGGTCAAACATGGTGTAAAAAAGAAAATGTGTTACATTTCGAACGCGGCGTTCATGTATATTTGTTAAAGGCCGGGGTACTGTCCCAAGACGCTTGGGTGTTGTAGCTTGCTTCACAACTAATCTTGATTCTGATGCCGTTCTTTTCAATAATATGTTTGGATATTTACACCCCCCCCCCCCCCCCCCCCCCAGAAAAACAAAAAAGAAGGAAGAGCTATTTTTATCTTGTATTGTCAACGTGTGTCTTTACTCCAAGTAAACACCTCATGTCACCCGTGTCGAGATAATTCATCTGATATTTTCTAAGCGAACGTCGTTTTTTTTTTTATGCTTCCCTACATCCTTATATTCCTTGTACTCTTACCGTATTTATAAAGCAACATATCAACGCTGCCTCCTCTCACTTTATCGCTAGCTATAATTAATTTGACTCTCGTTGAAGCTAAGGTAGCAGATTATAAAAGGCAAAACATATTATTCCCATATATATGAAATGCATACTGCCCCATTCCAAGATTGCTGTCTTATAATTACTGCATTTCCAAATTAGTTATGAGTTAGGTTTTAGATAAGGTAAGCCAATACCGCACTCTAAGTCAAAAACCCATAAATGCCACTGATTAAATATTTTGAATAAGATCAAATTCTACTAACCTGGAAAGGGACTGCTCGTTTCTAAAAGGCTTCTTGCCAGTGTTGAATGCGTCTGCGTATGGACAATTTCTGGCGACTTTACCCATGTTATTGCTGCCTTATATATGCATATGTAGTGCTGAGAAAGAAGAACCAATATCGCCAAGAGCTCTTTTCCAAAAAAGGAACGAAAAACACACTTTCATCGTTATCGGCTAATTGCGTTCAAGTGGGTACGTATTTTGCCAACCAAGATAAATTTATTTCCTCTCTGTTATCAATTAAAGACATTTCACTTTTATTGGTGGCAATGACCGTCTTGTTATGAGACTCTTCTTTATTATTGCATCACTAGAGTTTTAGGTAAACATGTGGTGTTTAGAGCTTATTGCATGCTTCGCTGTATGATCTGACCCATGGCAAGAATTCTATTCTATACAGCGTGAAGCTAAGGGATCGATGGTTTATTAAAGTTGATAGCAGGGCTAGTTGGTAATCGTTGTACATAATGGAATAAAACAGCGCAAATATTAAAAAAAAGAAGAGACAAACCAGACAGGACAGAGCGCTGACTCGCAACTAAAGCAGCTTCTTTACTCAGAGAAAAAGAAAGAAAAAGAGAAAGGAAAAGGGAAAAAAAAAAGAAAAAGAAAAAGAGAAAACAAAAAAAAAACATTCTACGCAATCGCACGTGCACCCTTCACCTGTGGTCCTGTCCTGTATCTTCCTGTCCTGTCTGGTTTGTCTCTTCCTTTTTGTATCTTTGCCCAGTTTTATTCCATTAGGATCGATGGTTGTTTGAAGGGTCCGGATCAACTGATTCGTGAAAGTTTTGAACTATGTATATTTCGAGGTGTGACAAAACAAAAACTGCATTAAGGGTATAAAAATTTCACTCAACAGACTTGCCCGTTTTAGAGGTTACTGAAAAATGTAAAATCCCTACCTACGGTGGCCTTCTGCTAAAGCATGGCGTATGCAAACTTGTACATGCTATTAAAAGAAAGCAGGAAATTGCATATACAATTGCTCAATGCTGAATCGTAATTAGTTGTAATTATAATTACCCGTTTATAAAAGTAAGTGACCGTTACCCCAAAAGGTAATTCGTTACTTTCGTGGCGTTACTTCCAACACTATAGTCATAAAGTAACTAAAAAAGTAAAGACGTTTACCATCCCCTCTAATGCCGAATTAAAGCGCAGCACTTGAGGAGGGGGAGCGAAGGGTACGGAGGAGGCATAGCTTCGTCGTGACCTTCATGAGTGACGTCATTATGGGAAACATCCCATGATGCAACGCGCGGGTCGCGAGTGACCTACGGGTTGCATCATAAGACGTTTCCCATAATGCAACGAGCCAGACCCTCGCGACGTCACTCGTGACCCTCGTGATGTCATTAGTGGTGTCATTATGGGAAACGTCCCATAATGCAGCGCGGGGGTCACGAGTGAGACGCGCGTTGCATCATGGGACTTTCCCATAATGACGTCACGCATGACGTCATGGTCCCTCGCAAAGGTCGCGACGATGCTATGCCTCCTCCTCCTTGCCCTCCCCTCCTCCTCCTCAAGAGCTGGGCTCAAATTCTATGTCTCACTCTACGATGCACTGAAGTCAAAAGCCACGGACCGCCAACTCCAATCACGAGCCACTTTGAAATTGCGCGGTATTTCGATTGACGCACGTATCGGTGCCCGGGTCTCGGATCACTAATGCGGATGGGCGGGCAGTGATTCGAATCAAATACCACTGAGTGGCTCATAAATTTTACATTGCAAATTAAAGCTACGGCATACAGGCACTTCGCAGTGTCAAAGCTATAGGACTGATGTGCTTTTTCATTCGGAACACTATTCGTCCACCACTAATTAATGTTAAGCATGTCATAGTTCGGCGAGGAACATGATTGGACCTGGCGGATTGTGGCTTTGGCATTTAGTCTATCGTAAGAATAAATGAAGACCAATGTTTGTTTGAAGGCCGTTAAGGCCCGTTCAGACACTTGCGACTTCCTAAGACCGTGTGCCTTGAAACCTGTTAATATCTTACGAGGAGAGGACACACTGGCGCCATCTATTGGGTAGCGGTGTAAAGTTGGCGGTCCCGCATATTTTACAATTCTCTCGCGCATTATCCTTCCTCTCTTGGCTCGGGAAACATTGGTCAACGTATTGGCCATACGTATTACGCACATTTCACCTCGGAAATCCCCTAAACCCTTCGTTTTTGTGAAATGCAGTTTCAGGGTCACCGCAGAGATGGGGCCAGCGTGCCAGCGTGTTCTCTCGTCCTAAGAAATTTGAAGAGGTTTCAACAGGTCTTACATCTCTCGGTCGTACTCGGTTGTAAGTGTGTGAACGAGCCTTTAGTTACCGAAGGACAGACACGAATATATCTATCGCTGCCATTATCATCCACCGTCCTGACGACTATACTTTCCGCATGAGCCCAGTTTTTTTTTTTTTTTTTTCTTTTTATATATATATATAAGTGTCCTTGTACCCCAGCCTTACCACGGTCTGGCCACGTGAATGCGTCATGTTGTAAGTCCTGATGCCTGTGCTGCAACGGCATTCATTTTAACTCTTTATGTGGTACTTTTTATATAATTTTTACTCAGAATATTATTTACCTGCCTGTTTGAAACAGTTTCACTACGGGAAATTATGAGTGAAATAGGGATATGGCAACAAAAAAGCTCACTGTCATGAAGACAAAATAAACGACTAGACGAAAATAATATTCCGAACTACAATTTTTTGTAGCATATTTTTCTTCGCTTCCAAATTATTCCTTTATTTTTCATTTAAGAATTAAGGATATTACCTTCGGTATGGATACTTTAGGGCACCATACAGTACGAAGCCGATTTCTTGAATTAAGGATTCAGATATATAGAGCCATCATTGCTAAAAAGGGTTCTGCTTAGTAATAATACACACTCAGAAATATTATTCGTTCATAAATTAGCTTCTTGATACCATAACGCGTGCAAAAGAAATTCACGTTTTTCAGGATCCCTCCCCTCTCTCCCCTTGAGTTTCTTTTTCAGGTTTGAGAGGTGGGCACAATCGTTACAAGTTCGCATCTTTAATGCGCTGGCAATAAGCATCTATCTCCCAAGATTGAGTGGCGCCTCTCGCGAGCAAATAGGAATAATATGAGGGCGCGTTTCGGTTGTGCGTCATTACGCTCTTTTGCATTGCTTATGGGCGCCGAGTTGAAAGAATTTCTTTGGCGTGTCTAAATTTTAGAAAAATCACATAACAAAAAAGCAACAAGCGCATTCTTATCGTTTTGATAAGACAATGAAAGCGCGAGCAGCATTTCCGTGTTCGTTATTTCGACTTTTTGTTTGTTTGTGAATGCACAATTTTCATGACCGCTCGCATACGGATTCTTACACATGCTCACCTTTTAGGTCAGCAACTGTGGCCTTTCTGCGTCCAAGTTCAGATAGGTTACGGTGACCACCGCCCCTTTCCTGGCAAGTGCGTGGCAAACATCTCTGCCCATTCCGCTTTCTGTCCCAGTGACGATAGCCAGTCGATCCGAGAGAAACATGTTCGGTTAATGTGCCGCTATGCTGAAGCTGCAAAAATACATGGTGTGCGTTGAAGAAAATGCTCCGCTCAGCGCTGGAGCGTTCTCCCTTTTTTTCTGCCGACATTCAAATCTTTCGTTGTTCGGATACTCAACCTGAAACCTATTTGATCCCGGCGGAACATTCCTCAATGGGACAAATTTACAAGTATTCATGCCTTGAACAACGAGGAAAAAAAAACAAGTTCGGTCATTATGTTTACGTATAACTTTCGGCTTATTTTTCGCGTTATTTTGATTTGCTATAATTATGGATGTTGTTGACTACGGCGTTCGTTAAAGTAACATTTGCCATCATACGTGCTTATCTTCAAAAGAAAATACAATTTTAGAACGCTGTAAAAATGATTGCAATGTACTGGTACATCAAATATTTACGACACCAAACTATTCCATAGTTAATTTTGTGAAACTAATACTACATAGTTTGGGAACCATGGGGTTCCCTATATCCTTATCTAGGCCTAGCTTCAAGCAGGCCGTGGGAGTCGTCGTCATCACTGGCGGCTGCTAACCGGATACGAGGAACCGAGGCCGTATTCCCCGAAGGGGAAGGCTCTACCTCGGCCACGTAGGGTGAATGTGCCGCGGCGCACCCTTGGGAGTGATTGCGGACGCGACCCGTTTTCGGGGGACTTATTCCCGGCCTCCCCGGGAGCGTCCATATTCCCGGAAGCTACATAAGCTGGCCCCGAAGGAATGCCGCGGCAGGGGCCCTGGCTCTACGGAGCTCGGTTTTTCTTTGTGCGCCTCCGCCTTTCCCGTGCATCTGTATATTGCGGCAGCGCGGGAAACCGACCGGGAGATACTGCCAATCAAGACAGCGCCCAGACTTTTCCTGTCTTAGAGCAAAGCGCATTAGCATTTGAGTTAATAAAAACGTCGAGAACGAACAGATTGTTTTTGTGTCGTCTCTCGTCTACAGGTGCCAAAAAGGCACATAATGGACGGACCCGGCCGTAGTCGCGCAAAGAGCTGACTACAGAGTGGGTATCTACCTCAATGAGGACTTTGGGGTAAAAGTTGGCAAACCCACAATAGAAATTGGTAGTTCATAAATCGTAACTTTTGGGTTCTTTTTTACGCTCTTCCTACTAATGAAAGTCAGGTTAAAGCATAAAAGAGACCCTGTATAGGGTAAATTTGCAGTACGAGCTCAAAATCGTCATTGCTTGAGTGTCTTGCAAAGCCCTACGTGGAAGAGAAAGACTGCAGCTGTGTCAGCGTCAATAGGTACTGCGGTCAACAGCCTGGGACAGTTCGTTTTCCTCTTACTCGTAGCAATTTTGATTTCTTGCTAAATTGTTTGTTCGTTGTAACAAATAAAAATATTCCAGCCAACCCTATTGAAAAACCAGCAAGAAAATCTAACTGGCCAAACTGATCAGTGTGTTAGTCAACCTGGTTGAACTGGCAATCAAACTGGTTTAACTGCCAATCAAGGTGGTTTAAGCTGGGCAAGCTCTAAGTTCAACTGGTCAGTCTGGTTTGA